AAATTATCTTTATGAGTTTTACTCATTTAGTTGCCCAATCAGTGGAGTTTTCATCAAACATGATTCTGAAACCTATTAGCTGCTTAATATTGTTGTACCCTATATTAATTCTCTTGACTTGCGTAATTTGTATTAGTCCCAAGATCTGTACACACCATTCTACTTAACAATGGTGTCAGATGTAGAATCCAGTGTGTTTGATTCACAACTCATGCTTTCATAATATCCTTAAAAGATTTTATGAAGTCTTAAATATTATCAGATGTTGTCATTACTAGATGTGGATTATTTCCTTCTATCCCCATTAGAACTTTTCAGAATCTCATTTGCTGATGCTGTCTCTATCTGTTTCTTCTCGATGATTCTTTGCTAACTGGTAAGCTACCTCTGGTAGTTGTTCATTTTCTCTGCAATGCTCTCCAGCTTTTTTTTTGAGCCTCCTCCCAGCTACATTGCTGAAATCTCACTATACTTGTTATTGCTGCTGTCAGTTGCTCCATATGGTCACTAACTCCTCTAGTCCCTGTAATACCTTTCATTGTCTGCGTTGAGTCTTCTGTATTTATAGTGCTAAGATTACTTCTGCTAGAAGTGGGTGGTCCTAAACTTAGTAATCATCAAAAGTTGATCAATCAAGGAGCTAGGGCTTGGGGTATCATAGATTGTATTACTAAGTAACAGGGATTGGAAACTGATGACGTCACATGGACAGACTCTGTAATGGTGGAAAAGCAATGGAAAGACTACACAAGCTCTTCTCCAAGTCTCCAACTGTATTAATTTGAATTTTATTTACTATCAATGATCAACAGATAAGTCTTGGGAGTTCATGACTGTTCTTTGTGACGGTTAAACATAGTTTTGTTGACAGAATCTTCGCCGCCTCTTGCGGCCCGTGTTATCATTGAAATTGCCTTTATGATGGCACAAATTAATGAATACAGCTATTATTTTTCTAAAGTGGCGTCTATGGCTTATATAATTGGCTAAAGGCATGTAAAAAACCCTGGTCTTTATTACAGTTTTTATCCTTTATCCAAATTTTACTTACTTTTTGTGATATAGGTTGAACAGATACGCCTCTAAAAACAGACATTTTGGGATCTTATGATCTGTATGAAGCACGAGTGATAATAAAAGTGTCTTAGTGGCATGTAGCTTTATTTGATGCTTGTTTTTTATACTGCAACTCTCTCAGTTTTAGTTACTCTTAGCAAGTTATAGGTTGAATAGATTTCACACCTATCACGCATGGTAAAAAAGCATGCTTGTTCTCATTTTTCTTCAAAATAATGTGCTGTATTACAGCTTTAACAGTTTCTGATAAGTAGGCAAACCTTCAGCTACAATATAAGCTAAATAACTGCCTTGGATCTGGCTTCAAGCTACACTTAATCCAGCAGTCCTCTCAGTCATATTGCTCTAGTCTCAACGAGCCAGGGAAGGAGCAGAGTCTTACAAGGTTCGTCTGCACCTACTTTCATTGATTTGAATGACATCACGTGATCAGTTTCCAATTCCTATTACTTAGTAATACAATCTATGGCGGTATTAGAAATAATGTAGTTACTAACGGTATTTATTTTGTATTGCAATGCAACTACATATGTACTAATTGCATCTTATGGAACTGATGGTGAATGGTAAGGGTGGACACTATAAGCTAATAATTATTGTAGTGTTACTAAAAATTCTTTTTAAATAAGTTTTTGATAATGAGTTATCGTAAGAATAATCTAGATGTCCAAACACTGTACAATAATACACATACATGTATTTTTATAAGTTCTTTGCTAGAAAAACAAGCATGTTAACCTTCTCAGGTTTAAGGCTAGCTCTTTGTGGAGTGACTATGGATCCAGATGTGCTGAAAAATTATTCAGATGACACACTTGTTGCACAGATGCACAGATACTTCTTGGCTAGTAATGACAAAATTGATTACTCTAAACAGTGCTGCTTCCAGCATAACAATGGCTCTTGTTCCATGTCCAAATTTTTACTGGAAAGGTAAGTTTCCAACTCTGCGTTGATACGCTGTGAAGAAGATAATGTTGGAAGCTGCTGTTCCTTACCATCCTTAAAGAGGGAGCCTATGTTATGCTTTTTAGATGGTGGAGGCTCAGTATCAGCACTTACAGTCTTTAATGCTCCATTGACATTCACTGGAGCAATACTTCACCTTCACTCAGTAATGACTCCTTTAGATTATCATGAATAAAGCTATCGACAATTACAGATGTCATGTTGAGTAGATGTAGAACTGAAGAATCATACAATTGATAGGGTGTGTTTAGGTCACTATGTATTTTCTGCTTTATATATTTTGTTAAGTTAGTATCCGTATCATTTTCGTTTATTATCTTTGTCTTTATTAAGTGTAAGATTGGACAAATAACAGATACTGTGACGTAATCTTCACTAGATGACAAGTAATTGCATCTATATATTGCCACTTTGGTAGTAGGTGTGTCACTTTCCTGTCTGTACTTAGAGCTCTGTGTATAGGTTCCTCTTGCTCCAAAATTTGGGATATCATTTTTGCAGTTGTGCTCCACCTGGTGGGACGATCTGCTGCTAATCATTGTTGTTTAAGACCTAAGTCAGCCTGATATTTGTGTATCTCACGTTTTCTTTACCAACTCGTTGAAAGGGCACTGATTATCTTTTTACATGACCCAATAGCACAAGTACAACGAGTGTCACCATCCAATGTTTTTGTAATATCTAAATGAAGGTTATGTCTAAAGCAGGATAGGCATATTCAATTAAGACGTTCAGCTTCATTGATCATATTAGATGCACTATCTGTGTTGTCAGACATACCGTACTTGCTTTGTTACATCTAGCTGCGACATTTTGAGTGTTATGGTGAAAGCATCGGCTAAATTTTCTCTGCTATGGTGTTGTGGAAGAAATTGAGTTTGTAGACACCTACTCCGTAGATTCCACTGATCATCAATATAATATACAGTATAACTGATGTAAAGGCATAGCCCAATACTGGACCACGAATTAGTAGTAGATGAGTAATAATGAACTCTACTTAGCTCTGATTCTACATAATTTTGAAGGACATCGTACAGTGTAGATATTGCTGTTCTTGAGAAAATAACTTCTACTGGGAACTTTATACCTATTGTCAAAGCTGGCAATCATTTTTTAAAAAGGCTTTTCTGCTGTGTTCCATAGAAGCATCTTTTTAGCCAGAAAGAAAGTAACTGAGTCTGTCAACTCCCTCCAGCACTTTCCCTTTCTTTCATATTTCTGAACATGCTCAAGCAACTGAGATAATGTCTGCTGGCTTTGCTGTTCAACAGTAGCTCTAGAGGTAGATAGTTTACCAGCGATTGCCATCTTTACACGAGAATGAACTAATGGGTGTGAAGTATGAAGGTGTGACAATAGATTAGACGTGTTTCCGTTCTTTGCTGATCGAAACTAAGTACAAAAATGACAGATAGCCATTCCATTGTTATTTGGCTTTCCATCTGGACCTAGCCACAACCCAAAGTACTCCCCCACAACACTCTTCGTGCCAGGTTTAGCAACAAGAGATACAGTCATCTTGTCTCTCCAAATAGGCTAGTACATCTATAAAATTCTGTTTACACGTAATAGATCAATACGGTGTTCAGTATTTTGGTATAGTAATGTGGTATATGATGGTATTCGGTGTTCAGTATTTGGTATTGCTGATGTAATTTTACAGTAAGTAAGAAAAATTTTGCAAAATAACTAAAGACCGGTATACCGCCAAGGCCTACAAGGAACACAATCTGCTACGCAATAATTACACTTATATGTACATGTACACAATTCAGAAAGTTCTGTAATAATCAGGAGTAAAATGGATAGTGACACACTTATCTAGAAGGATCCACGAAGTATACACACACATGTAACATGTAATAGAATGATTTTGATCAATCTCTTACTGTGATTGCATGTAATGCTTTTTAGTGGAACCAGTATAAAAATAAATGCTAGAAAGAATGTGGAACATTAAAGGGCTGAGCCTCGTAGATTAGTAGCTGCTGAAAAAGCAGAATCTTTACCTTATGTTGCTGCTAGAAAACTCTTGACTTGTTTTTTGCTTTAAGCCTTGCTACACTGACTTTAAAATAGCCAAGAGATATAAAAAGGCTTGCTAGTTTAGTCCAGTCAGTAACAAAGGCGACATTTGTTCGACTTTCACAGTTTATCTCAAGAAAAATAAGTTTCATAGTTACTTAATTACACCTGTAACCTTGTCAAGCAGTTGGAGAAGTCTTCGGATGCCTCATCTTGTTGCTAGGAAGCAGGAACCTCATGACTTCTAATTCCTGTGTGTTGATCACCATTTTATTTTCTTTTAACCACTCCCACTTTCAATGAAATACCGTACACGTCTTAATTGTTGATGTGTATTAAATTTTGTTATATTTGTGCTTACCTTAAATCCATGAAATTTAAGCCACCTCTAATGCCATTCCATTGTATGTAGACTATGGCCAGAGCATGATAATTAGTTCACATGAATATTAACTTTTAAGCGCATTTCATTGAAAACGTAAAATTTTAAGCACTCAAAAAGTTGAATGTTTATGGTATTGAAATTAGAATCTATTGCATTGCCAGGCATGTGCAGATATATTATAGAGGAGATGCGGAATACATACGTGCACATGCATACATATATATAACAAACTCTACTCATATTAGTGGGCTTTTGCCAAATTAAGTATACTGAAAAATATTAAAAACAAAGAAAAATGAAGGGATGAAATGAGGCAAATACAGCAACAGTACTAAATATTTTTTATATATTTGATTGGAGCTGACACTTACACTTTGTGAATAATTATGTAACACATTTTTGCACAAAATGTGTTATATGCAACAATTGTTGACTAAACTGTACTAGGTCAATTGTAACTGTTAGTGATTTTGAGGCCTTAATTCATTTAATTTTTGCTCTTCATGTGTGTACTTATTATTGTACCATGTATTGTCACTAAAATACTTTTGTTTTAGATGATGCAAGTGATACTGTGTCTAAAGAGATTAAGCTTTCTGCTACACAAGTTGAAAATGAGGGGTCAGTTTTGTGCTGTGCTGAGTGTTAGTATTATCTTAAATGTGTTTTGAGCAATGTTGCACACATTTAGCATGCTACATTGATGCCTATTAATGCTATTATAGAAGCTTTGTTGTCTTTGTCATGGCTAAATTTAGTCTTATGTTTTGAGTAATGACATGCTGGTATGGAGGAATCAAGTCAGCCTTTGAACATGCATGTGCTTTGTGCAATTTTTATGAAAAGCATAATATTTTGTTGTTATTTATGTGAACCAATGTTCTTTTACTTGTTATGGAAATCTTCTTTTGAATTAAATGTACATGTATAGTATAAATATAAAAAATTAAAGAAAACAATGTTCAGTAGGATTCTAGAGCAAATTTGTAAAAAATAATGGAATCGAAGACAGGCAGGATTTTGAACGACCAACGAAAATATATAATGAAAATCCTACTTGTGATGCAAATTCTACTCTACAATGTACTTTTGATGTTATTATGTAAGAATTGTGACTCACCTTGCAATGTAGAGTAAAATTTGTGTCATGAGTAGGATTTTCATTTCGTATTTTCGTTGGTCGTTCGGAATCTTACCTGTCCTTGTTTCCATTACTTTTTACGAATTTGCTCCAGAATCCTACTTAACCTTGTTTTTTAGAATTTTTTTATGTTCTTGTTTGTGTTGATTTTTTAATAATATAATAATATTTCTTTAGTTGCAATTGTGATACTTGTTAATGTTACACAAGCAATAATTTTCTCTATTATTATTATTATTATCATTGTTCTGACTTTACATCATTTATGAGAGCCGTACAGCATTGAATAGATTATGCCGAAAGAATATCAACTATACTGATGACAAGTGAAATTATTACTAGTCTTGACACAAGTCCTCATTCAAGAAGCTGAGAGCTAAGAGTGTCCATCTTCCCTGCAATGTTGTAGCTATTCCTGTTCTTCCTGGCTGTTTTCAAGTTCAGATTATCATTGCATATCATAACATTAATTAATTAATCAGTGGTGGATCTAGGGGGGGTTCCATGGGTTCCATGGAACCCCCCCTTTGGCAGAAGAAGTTGTCTTTTTGCAGTATGTTTGGATTCTTTGCAGTCAGTTTGCAGCACTTTTCCTCCATTTTATTAGTTAAAATTGATGAGCCACATCCAAATTTTAATTAAAATTAATGAGCCACACCTACTAAAGTGAAATGAAACCCCCCTTTTAATTTTTCTAGATCCGCCAGTGTTAATTGTTTGTATTTTAAAATAAAATAAAATCACACACTTGATAAAACAGTAACATGAAAGATTAATAGCTTCTCTAAGCTGGAAACCTCCACTAAAGTATTACAGTTGATTCCAAGCATTGCTAGGTAAAAAAATAACCTGCTTCCGGAGCTACAGATCTGAGCATGCATGACTCACCCAAATTTTGGAGCACATGCTTCTTTAATGAACAAAATGGCGGCGTGCAGCTAAGATGGTATGATCTAGCAGTCACAGACTCACTTTTTTCTTTCTTGGAAGAATGATTTGATGGGACATGGACCTGTGCATAGACTGTTGGAGTAGATTGGTGTAAGAATTGTCCTTATACCACCAGTCAATATTGAGATTCAGACTGACAACTGGATTAACAGGACTTCTTGATGAAGATGAAGATAAAAAAGGTGGCTGAACAAAATGGCTGTTTTCACAATTTTTGATTTTCATCTTACGCTCGGTTTAGAGCCATGCCAGTGGTACCAATTGAGTCCTCTGGTCAAGATAAGGTCCTCTATAAAGTCTGGTAAGCATAAGAGCTCATTTTCCCAGTATAATAGCAAGGCTGCAAAAGTTGTGGCAGCCATTTTGTTTGGGGGTGAATCCTACTTAGTAACGCTACCGCTTTACTAATATTTGATTTTTGCCTACGAGTGAAATAATATTGCTTACTTAGGATTAACAAAGCAGAAGCAAATTTTGAGGTGTCAGGAAAACTTGCAGCTGATAACAATACAGTTGGGGTATTTGATATTTTATTGCTAAAAATTGGTTTTAAGTTTTTTCTAGGGGGTTTTGATAAATTACACTGAGCCTAAAGAGGCAAGAATTCCGAAAACAAAATGGCGATTGTATGAATTTAAAGGCGATAAAAATACAAGTAATGATGTAATGTACATGTTCATGCACACTTGATAGTTCATTTATTGTTTTTTTAGGCACATTATATATACACAGACAAAGTGCTTATTTGATAGGACGTGATCGGAAAGTAATTGATTTATACATGTACCCTAATAACTATATAAGTATTGTAAAATACACTGCATTGAAGTTTGCAATGAGGCTGTCATATATTTTGTGTTTTCATGGTTTGGTGATTGGTGTACATTATATTGACCTAAGTATTTTATTTGTCTTACTGTGGTGTAAAATAAAGCTCAATCCCTCTTTCATTCACAGAAGAGATGACTCTGGGAAGTTTTATAGTTCCTCTTTCCTACCTGTATATTGCCATATTTATTTTTATTATTGTGGTTTTACATTAACTATTTATACAGTTTCTAAGGTGATATTGCCTATTTTTAGAGAGCATCCTGTTACTTCTACATCCCTCTACAGCATTCTTAATTATTATTTGTTTTAGCCTCTATTATTCATTGGTAGGGTAACTACTGTAAAGCGGAAAATTTTTGTGCCCCAAAATTTTCGTGGATTTCATGGTTAGCCTTACAACCACGAAAAATTTTGCCACAAAATTTTTGACTATTAATATGGCCCACTCTTCACGTAGGCACACGTGTCTCACTACTTTAAAATGTCTACAATCCTCCAATATTTTAAAAAGAAGAATACGCTGCCAGACCCTCACGGTGCTCTTTCTAGAAAGATGCCTTCTTCTTCAATAGCCACCACAAATTGTAAAGTGAAGGCTGTGATGGAAGAAATGAAATCCTCGGCGAAACAGCCTACCAACCAATCTGCCAACCGATGTGCCAGAGGGCCATACAAGAAGTACACTGCTGGACAAAAGGCCCAGATTGGCAAAAGAGCAGCGGAAATAGAAATAGTTTCTACTATTAATCATTTTTGCAGAAGTTATCCCAACTTAAAGGAAAGCACTTTATGTGATTAAAGAAACATCTACCTACTTGAATTGAAAAAAAAATAAAATGAAGGTGATGATTCTCTGGTAAAAGAACTAACAGGGAAAAAATGAGGCTGACCTCTAACTATTGGAGAAGATTTTGATACGCAAAGTTCATGAATATATAAGCAATGTATGTGATAATAGAGGTGTCGTAAATACAGCTATTGTAATCAGCTGTGCCGACGTAATTATAATGAATAGTCACAGTTGTTTACTTGCTAGCAATGGAGGACATATATCATTGACAAGACACTGGGAAAAATACATTTTATTGAATGGGGCTAGTAAAGCGAAAAGGAACAACCAAAGCTAAAGTCTTGGTGGAGGATTTTGATGTTTTAAGGCTCAATTGCTGTCGGATATAAAAGCTGTTATGGAAATGTAGGAAGTTCCTCCTGCTTTGGTCATTAATTGGGACCAAACTGGTATAAATTATGTACCAGTATCAGCTTAGACAATAGCAAAAGAGGGATCCAAGAGAGTTGAGATTAGTGGAATAGACAATAAGAGACAGATTACTGGTGTGTTTGGCTGTAGCATGGATGGAGATTTCCTACCAATTCGACTAGGGAAAAACACCTAGATGTATTCCATCGTTTAATTTCCCTCCAGACTGGGATATCACCTTCACTCATAATCACTGGTGTAACGAGAGAACAGTGAAAGATTACATTGGAAGATACTGGTACCTTACATAAATAGAAAGAGAAAGGAACTCAAGTTCAAGGCTGATCATCATGCTTTAGTAATTTACGATGTATTTAGAGGTCAATGCGCACAGGAAATTTTAGAACTGCTAGACACAAGTAATACTGATGTTGTTTTTGTCCCTCCTAACTGTACTGATTGCTTACAGCTGCTGGATGCAAGTTTAAATAAACCTGCAAAGGCCTTTTTACATGACAAGTTCTAGGAACGGTACACAAAACAAGTTTGTAAGCAGCTGAAAGAAGGAGAGAAAACGATGATTGATGTACGATTGAGTGTAATGAAGCCTTTGGGAGCAAAGTGGTTGATTGGCGTGCATGATTATTATAAGTTTAAACCAGATATTAAAGAACATGAAAGTTTAAAAAAGACAAGGCTAAGTAGGATTCTAGAGCAAATTCATAAAAAAGTAATGGAAACAAGGACAGGTAGGATTCTGAACGACCAACGAAAATACGAAGTGAAAATCCTACTCGTGACGTAAATTCTATTGTAAATTGTACTTTCAATATTATTTTTAAAGAAATTATTTATCACCTTGCAATGTAGAGTAGAATTTGCATCTCAAGTAGGATTTTCACTTTGTATTTTCGTTGGTCGCTTGGAATCCTACCTGTCCTTGTTTCCATTACTTTTTTAATTTGCTCTAGAATCCAGCATAGCCTTGTTTTTTTAAAAATTTTTTATGTTCTTGTTTGTGTTCATTTTAAAATAATATTTATAGTATTTTTTTAGTTACCATTGTGATACATGTTGATTTTACACAGACAATAATTTTCTTTATTATTATTATCATTGTTATGACTTCACAGCATTTATGAGAGATAGCATTGAATAGATATGCTGAAGGAATATCAACTATACTGATGACAAGTGAAATTAATACTAGTCTTGACGCAAGTCCTTGTTCAAGAAGCTGTGAGTGTTTATCTTCCCTGCATTTCTGTAGCTATATTCCTGTTCCTCCAGGCTATTGTCAAGCTCATATTAATTATCATTGCATATCATAACATAAGATAATTAATTTTTGTTTTTTAGAATAAAATACAATCACACACTTGATAAAACAGTAACATGTTAAGGGGGCGGGTGAACTTTTTAAATTATATTCATAGTTTTATTAATTGATTAACTTATACCACCCATGCAATAAAAAATTAAATTCAATTATTGCGTGTGCAAGTAAACAGCTGAGCCAGAAAATGGTCTGTTGCGATCATGGACTCTTCTAAAGACTTTGGCGATGACTCAGCTGGCTTTTTTTCAAAGCCATCATTCCAAAGATGATTCAACCGGCTTTTTTCAAAGCCATGATTCCAGTGATAATCCAACCGGCTTTTTTCAAAGCTATCCCAATGATACTGAAAGGAAGAAATCTTGTGCTGAAACATACCTGGTATATATGCATGATTATTATTATTGTATCATTGAATTTTATTTAAAAATAATTATAATTTAGGTAACACCATCAAAAAAGAGAAAAGTACCTGGAATTAGCACTCTATTTAGAAAAAGAAAGAATGCCTTGGCCACGGCTAGGAAAACGAAGGAAATCTATTGCACGGTTGCAGCAGCTACCACAGAAGCAACTGCACCCCACCTTGAGCCAGAAGCAGCAGCACGATGTAGCTGTAGCAATGAAGTAACTGTGGCAGGGTACAGAATCACGAATATTGAGGAACTATCGAAACAAATTCTAAAAATGTCGGGACATAGTGCTTCATGTAGTGCCCAGTGCAGACTAATTGAGGAGCGTAAGATGTGTAGGCTGGCTCACAAATTAGTTGTTAAATGCATAAAATGTAAATCTTTTTTCACAATTGAATCGTCCGAGAAAACCACACTGAAAGTTGGAAGCCGAGGGTGGAGGGTGAATACAGCAGCAGTTCTTGGTCAGATTAGTACAGGAGGAGGTCTCTCACATCTCAATCAAACATTAGCTGTACTGGGCGTTCCTGGTATGAATAAGAAGCTATATTCAAAAACCGAAAATTACATTCGGTCCGAGATGGGAAAGCAACTGGTACAAAGTATGTCAGATGCTGCAAAGGCTGAAAAAGCCCATGCCTTTGCTACTGGGTCTTACCATCAAGGTGTACCAGCAGTAAAAGTTGTTGTTGATGGTGGCTGGTTAAAAAGGAACGCATAAACACACTTATAATGCAAAAAGTGGTGTTGCAGTTGTATTTGGCCATTTCTCGAAAAAACTCATGTTTCTTTGAGTTCGCAACAAATTTTGCTCTGTTTGTGCTATACACAAGAACAGAGATGAGGATCCACCCAGCCATAAATGTTTTAAAAACTGGGATGGTTCTTCAGCCATCCAGGGAATCTGGTATTATATGTGAAGGATTCTGTCTTTCTGAATCTCAGTATGGTATGCGATACCTGTTTGTTGTTGGTGATGGTGATAGCTCTGTCATGGCTAATCTTCATTCCTCCGTATTGTATGGCATATTTGTCCAAATAATTGAATGTACTAATCATGCATGCAAAGCATACAGATCAAGGTTGGAGCAGTTAGTAAAAGATCGTCCACAATACTTAGGAAGAGGTGGTTTGACAAAAAGCATAATACAACATCTTACGGTTGGAGCTCGCATTGCCATTCCCTATCATAGCAAAGATAAAAATGTAGCTCAACTTCGAGAAGATCTTCGCAACGGGCCTTCTCATGTTCTTGGTGACCATCATAAATGTGGAGCTTATTTTTGTAACCAGCTGTCAAATGCTAGAGATACAGATGACGATACTGAAATGATATCTTTGTCACTGGAGAACAATGAGAGTAATGCAACAATTGTTGACACCCTTGAAGCCATCATTGTCAGTGAGATTCAGGACAGTGTAATTACTGAGGAAATGGAGGTTGATGCATGAAGTGCATGTTCTGGAATGGTACATTTGCTGCCAGAAGGTTTGTTTGCCAGAGTCCTTGCTTGTGGTGATAGGTTAGTCATCCTTTCTGAACACCTGATACACAATGAAACTAGTAAACTTGCAGAATGTTATATGTCCATACTGGCATTATATGATGGTGGTAAACAAGTAAATTGGATACAATCAGGTTCTTTTCAGCATTGTTGCTATGCTGCAGGACTAAGAGTTCAGAATGGTCCAGGATGATTAAGTAGGACACTATCAGACATTACTAATACTGAACCTGAAAAGGTATAGAAATACATGTAATTATAATTAGATGTATTTAATTAAATTTTATGATTGAATTTTATAAATAATGTTATAAATTAAATTTCTAAGTTTTGGTTCTTACATCGTACATAAAACAAAAAGAAGATAAACTAGCAAAGGATGCGTCAAGAAAATAAACACCAGACTACATTAAACAATGAAAAAAGCCAAGTATAGCTTAACCAGTTCTAGTCAGCAAAACCCAGATTACGGTATAAATG